GGGAACATGCATTTGCACACAAGAGCCATTTTCATCTTGTCAAGTTGCTTCAGTAACAAGTGCAGCTTTCAATGCAATGTGAACTTATATACCCAGAGTTGCAGTCATATTCAGCTGAGAAAAATTATTGATAAATAATTTCAGAATACCATGGCGATGGATGATATAAAGTAAAACAGGCAAATCCATGATTGGACCCCCATGACTAGAAAAATCAAGTCTAACGGCACTCTTGGGAAAATTTAATAGAATTCTTGGAAACTCCATCACACTTGGCATCAATTTTGTCTCCATTTGTTTCCATTTATCCATGCTGTGTGGCCTGTACTGAACTCCACTTGCAAGTACTACTTACAAGTAATGGTAGTCTGACTGTCAGAGTACATGATTATTTTGTCTTTCAATAAATAAAACAAAGGTACCTGTTATGATTTGAAACACAGAATTTCATATCTTCTGGTATGTTTATCTATCTCTTCTTCATGAGAGGGAAGAAATATGTGATGTTCTTAGACCATCAATTATCAAAATAATGTGAATGTATACAATGGAAAATTAATTCTCTGTGCTTGGATGCAAGACCAGGTGAGAAAATACATGAACTTGGGGTGTTGAAGTGAATAAGATGTGACATCTCACTCTAGGGTGTCATGTTATTTGAGTGTTGCAAAGGTTCTGGTTCTAATTATTTCCCCCACTTCTCCAGAACAGAAGATGGATGTAGAACGATGATGATGGCTAGCCATATGTTCCCCTGCGATGCCAATTTCTTCACTCATTGTGAGTCAGCGTGATGGTGATTTTTTTTTTCTTGTCGCTTTCTCACAAAGAATGAATATCCAAGTGAAGCATGGCAGTACACTGGTTAATACATCACAATTTCCAGCTATACATGACTCAAACAAATAAAAGGCCAATTCTGTTCTCAGTTGTTGATTTAAAGTCTTTTGAACTACCGGTATATGCCTGCACCCTATGTTTGATAAGAAGTGGACCATGACAGCTGCATGTACAGTACATCTACATGAATGAGTGTCATTAGTTTGGGACTTATATTTATTCACACCTTATTAAAGCAATCAATTATATTCAACAGGAAAATTATTTTACTCTGTTGCATAGATTAGGTATGCATACTTGCTCTGTGTGTGTGGGGGGGGGGGCAGCAGTGCCTCCACGCCCTAACCCCCCGGATCCTCTACAATCTTACTTTTGTAATTATAAATCACACAATGACTTGTAAATTTTACTCATCTTTTCTATAACTTATCTACAGTTTGTCTTCTTGTCCTGCCCATAACATAAGCCCTATCAATAATACCAAGGAGTTAGCGAATATACTATACCATGGACCTACAGTATGTATAGTAGGTCCATGCTGATACCTATTTCATATTGACATCGCTCTCTGATGTTATAAGGTCAAATAAGTATAGGCAACTCTAATCAGATAATACTTGTTTCTTCTAAAAACAAATGAGGAAACAAACAGCCATGTGCAAGCATGCAGATGTTATCTTAATTCTCTCTTTCTAGTCTAGATATCTCGTCTCTCTCGATCTCCTTCAAAACTTCCTTCCTTTTCTCCTTTTCTTCCTGGCAAACAGTTTCTGGTTTTTCCAAAGATCTCATGGATCGAAAACAACACCTAAAGTACTTTAAAGGGAGTATTAATGACTTGCATGTGATTAAATCATTAATCATTAGCAACCAGTCTCCTTTTTTCATACATCATTTTTTTGGTTGAGGAAATATAATATTGATACCATCTTGTAGATCTCCTGATTCATATTTCAAAACAACAGAGAAGTTTAATAACTGAAACATTTTATGTCTCAACTTTGAACTACTGTAGTAGGGTGTTCAATAGATTTTAACAAGAATACATACATGTACAGCCCAGCTACAGTCCCACATCAATGCCTTTTTCTGAAGTTTTCTATGGCTTTGACAATTACATAGCCCACAACAATTGAATTTCCATCTGGGTTTGCAGCAAACTATTACCAGTATATTGATTTTCAATGATTTTTTTTTTGTACAATATTTTCTTCTTAGAATTATCAATCAATGGTACTACCTTTAAAAGAACTGACATGTACACAATGGACATCATCCCTGCATACAGAGTGTGATGAGGTTTACGGTTATGCTAACAAATTAACCAATTGGTCCATAGTTTAAATACTTCTGTAAACAAGGGTGCATTTAGTGTGTGATGACATTTCTAGGTCTGGTGTTATATGATTAGGACTTGAAACCACTTCAAATGATTTCCGTTTGGAAAGAAAGAGAAAGTTGAGATAGTACACGATGCCAACAGGTATTGCAATCAAGAAGACCTGTTATTGTAGTCAAGAATGATGTATAGCTTGCTTCAAATTATTTTCAATGCCTTGAAAATCAAGCTAATTGAGGGTTGAATGAACTTGATCATAGATAAATTGTTTAATAAAAACATACTTGATAAACCAACAAGTCTTCACAGTGTTTGTGATGAGTTTTCTAACAGAATGAGTTGTTGAATTAGGGTTCTTACTGCCTTTTCAACAGTTTTTTTTAGCTGCACTTCATTCTCCCTTTAGGTGTTTTTATATTGATTATTGTTATTGATAAACATGCATAATATTATATATACCTGCAAAGCGCCATCAAAAGGATGAGAATACATTGTGAGATGGAATATAGTTCCAGCTAAGAAATATGAAATAGATGGCAATATATTGTTTTGAAGAAATCCTATGAACATAATTATACAGTATACACTGTAGGTATAATCATACTGCCACTAGGGGCAGTTACACTGTCATCCAAACACGCCAAAAAATGCCAAACCGGAGCCTGGCCGCGATGTTACCAAGGGCAACTACGCTTTACCGGCAGACATGCCAAGCCCCAAACATTCCAAAACGAAGTGTGATCTTTTGGCGTGTTTTGGCGTGTTTTGGCGTGTTTGGCAAGTATAACCGCTCGCAGTTGTAACATCGCGATGTTAGGCACGTGACTTCCGGCACCTCCGGATTGTTACCCGCGCTCTTTTAAACCACGTTCTTCCCGTGTGATATTTATAGCATTTCCATCGTCGCGCGTGTTATCCGTTCATTCAGGTCCGTTTGTTCCAATTCCGTTAACTCATCCTTTATTCAATCTTCGTTATTCCCGTCTGGCCATATCTGTCTAGTAGTAGTAATTGAGTGTTTTGTTAGATCAATTAATATGGAAGTGAACAATTCCCATTGGACTGATGATGAGATGAAGTTCTTGATTTCGATGTGGAGGCAGGGAGAGCTCCTCCACCAGACTTCCAAGCGTCCCTGCAAACGTGGGGAAAAGGGCTTCAGAGAAATGAGTGAAAGCATGAAATTAACAATTAACAACGATGATTTTCTTAACCTTCCCATATCGTTTTTACTACTAGATTTCGATTGAATTTGGGAAAACTGAATCAGCAGCCGTAGTCCGTACATCGTAACTTATCCACTCTTGCCTCAAATACTACACGCGAGATAAACAAAACATATCGCATGCATGCGCATTTAGCTAGCTATAGCGCTAGCTGGAAATTGCGCGCGCTAAAAATCTTATAGCAGGCCGGGGTCAAAGGTCGGGAAGACTGCACATGCGCATTACCAACCGAAACACGCCAAAACATCGCTGAACAGCTCCGTCGGTGATGTTTCAGCACAAGTGTAACCGGGTGCACGAAACATCGCGACTTTTCAAAATGAGGTATTTGACAGTATAAATGCGCCTAATGTCTACAATACATTTACAGCTTGATTTGGTGCACTGATATATTTGGTGTTTACATTGTCCATGTTTCAATTCTCTACCAGAAATAGAGGGGACCTGCATACCTGGATAACTGTGCATGATATTCAACAAAAACACATCTTCACCTGTGCAACCAGCTTGATCAGGCTTCGACACTCTGCATAAAAATTGTGAATGGATATCTTACTGGAGTCAGTAGCAATCACAGCGTGAAGAGAAAAATCAATGAAGTATTTCCCCTAAGTTCTCCTCTTCTCTTTGATTACCTGTTGGTCAATTAATCCCCATTGTGGAAAGGCCCCCTACAGCCACCCTCCCTGGCTATACAAACCTAATATTCACAATGGACCGGATTGGGATGATTGTTCAAGCCTTCGCTTTGATCTCATAGAGAAGGGATTAAATCAACCTCTGAAGGAGTTTTATTTCTTAAACAGGTAGACCTATAAAGCATCCCTTTTATTACTGGATCAAGTGTGGATAAGCACCAAAGAAGCGTTAATTGCTCAGTGTATACATCGCAACTAGTAGTCTAACCATGGACCTAACACAGGTCACAGACAAAACACAGGCAGATATAGGCCTATATTCTACACAAAAACTTAGATTTTTTTCTACCAAAGAGATACATATACATGTAGCAGTAATTACTGGTAAAGCATATATGATATTCTGAGAAAATGCATTAATCTCTCTAATTATCTTTCTATCTCTCTATCTGTCTGTATCTGTATATTATATATCCATCTTTTTAGTCTCTTCCACCCCCCCCCCCCCCAAAAAAAAAAATGTTCTCCCTATTTCTCCCCTCTCTCTCTCTCTCTCTCTCTCTCTCTCTCTCTCCCTATATGTTTACTCATCTGGAATGTTGTTTACTAAATTCCCTTTACGGAATACTATAGGCCGACACATAGCTTAGGCACTTGTACATAGATCCGTCTCTTCCTCTCAAATATTGTCTTCCTCTGAGAGAAGTTGAATAAAAAGAAACGTTTGTGAGGTATCATACCACAGGCAAATATAACTAGACCTGTATAAGAGGCACGCACTACTCACCCAAATTTATACATGTTTGCCATATATCTTATTAACCACCCAAAAAAAAACATGTAGTATACCATTATATACTGTTATTTGCAAGCATCATTCGTTATTTCATTACATTATGAAGTGTTTATATTGTGGCAGATGTCTAGCTTTCCCCGCATTTTCCATTTTCCACTCACCTCATTACAGACAAAGAACATTAGCACATCTCAACCCCTCCTCCTCGATCTCATCCCCTGCCTGGCAACGTACACCGGTAGCTCATCCAACCTCTCCTCCTCCTCCTCCTTAATGCGTATCACAAATCAATATTGAATCCTTAAACTGAATTTTTGTTACCCGATGAATCAGCTATAGTCCAATAAATTTCCAGAGAGTGTTAGCAGAAATCATTAATACTAAAATAGTAACAGTAAATAAAATCCATGGGGAAATGTGGACGATAGGAGTAGAAATCCTCTGTCTTTATGCCATATAGAGAGGTGCTATCGGCAATGCCCAGCCAGCTGGTAATGAAAGCCAGCGAGATACTGAGAAATCCTCACTCCACGCTGCTACTACTATGTACCGCAGCAGCGGTTGACTACAGCCAAATAGAGCAGGATTGTTTGGTCTGAAAGGCCTCTTTACTGCTCTCTCCCTCTGTCTCTCCCTCTCTCATTCATTCACCCAACTAGCTCAATCGGCGAGCACAATCGGCTCAGACCAACGTGTGCAGCTAGGGATAGAGGTGTACAGAGGCAGGGTATTAAACCCAGACAATGGGTGCAAATCAGGATAAATGGGGGAGTAGTGAGGGAGGGGGATTGCAAAAGCTTCGCCAGCTCCACCTCCCCGGTTCTCCTTTCACTGGCTTCGTGTATTCTATTCTCCCTTCCCCCGCTATAAAGCAAACCGCATTAAAAGACCAGAAAAGCCCTACAATTTATAACTTCAGGAGAATACATATTATCTATTTGATCTCATCCGGCCATCTATACTGTTATTAGTTCCAAACCAATGCTGTCAAGGGATTAAGCATGCCCCTTCTTCAAAACATTATAAACACAAATGCTCATACCCTAACAAAATGTATGGGTCCTTGAAAAGATCAATGCAGACCACTGCCAAAGACTAGAAATCATTCTACAAGATTGCTCCCTTTTTTTCATCCACCTTTTTTCCACAATTACATTACCCCAGCACCCTTGATATTTATATATCAAGCAGAACTATATTGAAGAAATTAAAATTCAAAACAAAATCATAAAATTGTAAGATGACATGATGAATTTGATTCTTTGACAACTGTAAAAATAACAAGACTTGAAAACTGCACATTTGTGAATAACCAATGCTGGCAAGGGATTAAGCCTGCTCCTTCTTCAAAACATTATAAACACGAATGCTCATACCCCTAACAAAATGTATGTGTCCTTGAGAGATCAATTCAGAGCTAATACTATAGCTACACATCATTCTACAAGATTGCTCCCTTCTTTTCATCCACCTTTTTCCACAGATATACTACCCCAGTACACCCCTTGGTATTATCTAGCAGCAATACATTGAAGAACTTAGAATTCAAAACAAAATCATAAAATTGTAAGATGACATGATGAATTTGATTCTGTGACAACTGGAAAACTGACAAGACTATAACATGAAAATTGCACATTTGTGAAAAGATTGTGTTCTGTTTCTTTTTAATATCCCTAGCCATTCCCTTTGTGATGGTTAATACCATGATAAAAATACTATGAACTGGGACATTAAATTTTGTGGTGTCTACCACATTTTTCTTGACTAAACAAAATCATGTCTGCTAGGCAAGAGGCACGTTCCTATTAAACTCCTAACGTGGGGGAGAATGAATGGCACAGGATTATTAGCTTGTCGGTTGATTGTCTGGGATGATATTTGAGGCAGAAAGGAAACTAATACTACAAGAGGGGTGGCTGATATCACCCCTCCCTTCTCATAAACAATGTCAAAGCAGCACCTGCATGGGAAGATGTCAACCTAAATCTCTCAGTTATTTCGATAGTAACAAAAATACATAATCGGATCCCGACGAAGAAGACATAATTGTTGAATCGGGATATATAATAATACTAAAATGAAGGTCTAGAAGCTACTACTACTGGTTTGAATTCTGACTCGCTCTGATGGAAGTACACAAAGTCCTACCGCCAACACACACACTTTCAGCTTTCTGGAAAGCCGGCATTCTGTGTATGACGTCACATGACGTAATCGATCGATGGACCGATTATCCAAATTTTTAGGGGCGTTCCCAATTATTTTTTTCTTTTCAAGTTTAAAGATTAACGAATTTAATTCAGATAATTAGCTTGAAAAATCTGGATTCACAGCAGAAAAGTCATATAGTTCAAATAAACTAGTATTTCCGTAATAGTGGTCCTTTAAACCTGCCTATAGCAACCGCCCAAGGGAAACACAAAAAGTGGTCTTTGTAGACAGGTGGTCACTAAAACAGGTTTGACTGTAGTACATATCACAATATTATATGCCTCCAACTCAATAGCTATTTGTCATTATGAAAGTAATCAAAAATATAAACAGTACCGGTACATATTGCAATATTATATAACATTGCTAAGCACTTTTGAAGGGATTTGGATATTGTTTAACTAGCTTTAGCTCCAGCATGCAACTGTTATTAATTAGCTCATTTTCGTTCCTTTTAAATAATGATCCTAGAACTAAATTTTGGTCAAGATATTATACAATGACAAATATATTTTTTTTTTAAAGAATGGGGAAAGGGTAGTTTTTCAGTATTAGGACTCAACTATCATCTTTCTCTTGAGCTATTTTCTCAATACACATTGTATAGCCATCAGCAGTATTCAATGGAAAAACAACAAGTTCTTATTCTGCAAACGTCATGCATGTGTACTATGTACCATAACATCTAGCAGCAAAGGTCTATGAAAAGTTTAAAGGGCAATGACCTTTTACTTTTTTCTTTTTAATATGATAGTATCTTTTCTCTGTTTATTTCTTTTGAAATTGAATATTTGCCGATAAATACAGTGCTTGTATATATTCCAAATCAATTTAACCATAGCTTTGCAACAACTTCCCGATGTAATGTATAGATCAATATGCAAGCATCATTATGCAGAAATCTCACAAAAAGTGCTACCTCCATTTTTATTGAGATGTAAGATATACCGGTAGTATTTTTTTCAATATATCTCAACAATGTATTCCAAAGAATAAGTTTGCCAAATTGTATTCTTAACCATTTATCACCAACACTGCACTTTCTGCTTTACAAGAGAAAAGTATCTCTTCTTTGTAATGATTTGCTAACAAAAAGGCGGAAATGCCCCCAGCTTAGCTAGGCTAATTTGACTTTGTGTTCTATTTATCCTCATAATTCATAACTTGGTACCTGAGGCAGACAAGCTGGTGCCACAAGTTACTCCCCCCAAAATATGGCACAATGTAGTCTACATATTTCAGACCCACATAATTATGGTTTACAATAAGCCAGTTCACGGTTGCAGTCTGAGCATGAGCAGATAAAGGTCATTGCAGAACGAATTGTGAAATACACGGAGACGAAATACTGGATACGTGCTCATGAAAGTTATGTAATCATTATTCATTTATGTATTCCATGATACACAGGTGGAAGTATTCTTTGAAAAGTGGAAACAAAGGCTATTTATGTAACACCTCCATCGATGTAGGAGTGATTATTTCAAAATGTACAAAGTGGGTCCTCTTCATGTTTTGAAGATCTGTGGATATTCGGGGTCATTGCAGTAAATGTGCTAACCGTGAACTGGTCTATTAGAGTATCACCTTTTCTTTCATTTTTTTTCATTTTTTTTTTTTGGGGGGGGGGGGGGGTTGTTGTGAATGTGCCATTTGTTTTTCTTTTCTTTTTCCATTGCATATCCATAGGGGGTTTTCAGAAGGCAAGTCATATATGTACATCTGGTGAAACTGGATTTTGCACCATCAGGGCTTGTGCCCCTACTGTTTCAAACACTTTGACCTACAATTCACCAAAGTATTTGCCTTCTCATCAATATACATTTGACATCTGAACTTTTCCTAGATCACATATTTACAGTTACATGCATCAAAGTGCCTTATACATCACCCTGCCTTATTGATCAGTGTCTGATACCTAAATTCACTGGCAAATTGACAAACTAAAAGCTTACAGTACCCACTTTCAATGCACATTGACAAAAAAAGAAAGAAAGCGAAGGTAACAGAGAGAAGATTGAAAAGAGCGAATAGAGGGGGGAGAAATCAATCACGGCTTCACAAAAAGGAGGGCAGGTTTCAACTCTGGAGCCCTCAAAATGGCTTCATAGACCTTGTTATAAGTGTTCTAACCCAGTAAATAGAAAACACACGCTGCCTTTCCAGACCTGTCCACATTGCTACATTTCAATTGAGCAGACAGTATGTTACTATCCATTAGCTATAACTCCTGGGGGGGGGGGGGGGTGTGTTTCACAAAGACTAAGATCAACTTTAAGTTGGATTTAACTATGGCAAGCCATTCATGCCACTGTTTGCTCACCATTTACTGGAATTGTACAAATCATGGTCGCAAATCTACAGAATTTACATTTTTTTTAATATTCATTAGTGAAGGAAAAATATTATCTAAAGATCATAATTGTGAGAGAAAATTTAGAGTACATTATACATATTGAGCAGTGTTGACAGTCCTGAACAGAGCTCCATGTTCTAATACTACTTTCATCCAAACAGATTTAGCCTGTCAGAACACCTGATGGAACCTAATTGAAATCTGCTCATCCATGCATCTTATCATACTTACTGTCATAGCTCAGAAGTTGAAATACAATTATAATTATGATATACTTTTTAATATATATATATAATATTGGTCAGAATGAGGAGATCAAGAGTCGCAATTGTTATCATATTTAAGCACATAAAATTAGGTCTGAATTGCCTGATTTAAATCTGGATAATTGGAAAGCTGTAAAGAATCTTTACTAAATGCCATTCCTGTTGCGAAAAAGCTCCAAGTTGTCTGCATTTCTGGTTGAAATATATATCAAAAGCAATTCATCATTGTTGCCTTTATAGATATTCATGTTTTGATTCATAACTCATAATATCATATTCCAGAGAGTGCACAGATAGGTCATGCAATTTGATTATTGGGTATAGAGTTTTTAACTGAAACTGAAAATTTGTCAACTAAGTGACAAATGTTATTTCTGAAATTATGAAACCATTTCTGATTGGATGTCATTGCATCAAATAAAATATAAGAGTAAAATTAATAAAAATAACTTATTTTAATCCATACAGAAATATTCAAAACTCTTTTCGTAGCATTTCATGTTCATCCTAAAACTTCATCACAGAAGGAGTAATACCATTACTAACAAAGAATATTTTAGAGAACTAAAAGAATCTTCCAAAAGATGTAATAAAACTTATTTTTGTCAATGAACTCTTGCTCTCTCTGTCATAACAACCATTCAGATATAAGCTTGAAAGAACTTCATCAGATTTAATCTAATATTACTTCCTTTTCAATAATTGAGTTTATTGCTTCTCTGTATATAATTATTCAGACGAAAGCTTTTATAGAGTTGACCTAATTTAGTGGAGATTGACCAGTAAAAAGCACAATATCTCCCTCTTTTATCCGATGCGAGTTGCATTACTTCA